TTCAGTCGATCCTGAATACGGCAGCCAGACTCATTCACCTTACCAACCGCTCCATTTCCGCCACCCCCCTCTGCCATTCCCTCCACTGGCTTCCAATAGCACAACGGACCAAATTCAAAATCCTAACACTGACGTACAAAGTTGTCCATCATACTGCTCCAAATTACATCACTGACCTAATATCAAGTACCACCCAACATGCACACTCCGCTCCTCACAAGACCTCCTTCTCTCTAGTTCCCTGGCCTCCTCCTCCCATGCCCGCCTCCAGGATTTCTCCATCCATCAGACTATCACCTACTCTCCTCTCCTTTAGGCACACCCTGAAAACCCACCTCTTCAGGGAAGCCTACCCCACCCCCTGCTAATTGCTGACCTCCTCCTACCACTCCATCCCCCACAGCTATCTCCTCCTGTACCATTATCCCCTCCCTCCTAGATTGTACACTCAAAGGAGCAGGACCCTCGAACCCCTCGTGTATCACATTGTATTGTTATTATACTGTTGCATGTTCTGTCCCCCTTTGTAATGTACAGCGCTGAGCGAACTGTTGGCGCTTTATAAATACTGTATAATAATAATATAAAAGGTAGTTCAGGATCGGGATGTACCAAAATTGGTGCAGAAGTGAAAAGAGTTTTCAGATTTGTGCAGCCTGTGCCTCAGAGGTCCACACAAAGGGTACCCCTTTCTTTGTCAGCTGTGTAATTGGAGCTATCACTTTAGAAAAGTTTCTTATAAATTTTCTGTAGAAGTTGGCAAACCGATGAAACGTTGAATTTATTTAACATTTCCTGGTGCTGACCAATCTACCACTGCTTTGATCATCTCGGGATCCATGCTCACTCCCTATAGAGAAAAATGATATAGCCTAAGAACTGGATCTGGGTTTGTTCAAACTCACATTTTTCCAATTTAATGTAAAGTCTATTCTTCCTTAATCTTTCAAAGACAGTGCAAACATGTTTTGGTGCGCCTCCCAATTATCGGAAAAGATAAGATATCACCCAGATAAGCAATTCCAAATTGGTCCAACAGATTCTGAAAAAAAACATCGTTGATGAAATGCTGAAATGTTACAGGGGCGTTGCAAAGCGCAAAAGGCATCACCAAGGATTCAAAATGCCCATACCTGGTTCTAAAGGTGGTTTTCCATTTGTCTCCTTGACGAATGTGGACAAGGTTATATGCCCCTCATAAATCAAGTTTTGTAAATATCTTGGCAGAACGAAGTCTTTCCAACATTTTAGAGATCAAGGGTAATGGATAGCGGTTTTTAATAGTGATTTTATTCATGTCTCTGTAGTCAATGCATGGACGCAAGGTGGAGTCTCTTTTCAAGAAGAACAGGGCTGCTCCTGCAGGAGAAGTTGAGCGTCTAATAAAGCCCTTCTCTAAATTCTCATCGATCCACACCCTGAGTATTTTTAATTCAGGTTCTGACAGATTGAAAAGGCAGCCAAAGGGTATTTCTGCCCCTGGGAGCAGCTCAATGAGACAATCATATGGGTGATGAGGGGGTACTTGATCGGCATTTTTCTTGTCACAGACATCTCGGAACTCATTGTATTGTGTGGGCAAGTTTTCATATGACTGGATAGCCACCACATCACTTTGCGATTCCTTGGCCGGTGACAAACTTGGTTGGCAAAGTTTCTTACAATATTTTTCACAGTTGGGGGACGTAAAATCTATAGTCCGTGCTCGCCAGTTGATGGAAGGATTGTGAGTGGAGAACCAAGGAATGCCCAGGATGATGGGACACTTGGGTGACGTAATCAGCTGAAAGCTGATGGTCTCACAATGGTCAGCCTCAAACAACAGTACCAGGGGAACCGTTTTATGGGTAACAGGTCCTGAAGATAAGGGTGACCCATCAACTGTCTCCATATCAATAGGGGTAAATGTATTTCTTTCTTGAATATTATTGTTGTGGTCAAACTCTATATCCATGAAGTTCCCCCCAGCCCCGGAGTCCAGCATAGCTGAGCAGGAGATTTCATGGCCCTTGGAGACAAGTTTAATGGTGACAAAATGAGAGAGTAGAGAGTTCACTTTATTTTCTTTAGGGATCAGTGGGGAAACAGACTGGCTAATAGTTTATTTGTTCAGGCACAATCATATCAGTCCCCTCTCTATAAAGTAGACATCCTCCATGTATACACCATCTATATGGAGTCTACACAATATACAGACTACCTCTTCTCTATACAGTAGACATCTTCCATGTACACACCATCTATATGGATCCTACACAGTATACAGACTCCCCCCTCTCTATACAGTAGACATCCTCCATGTACACACCATCTATATGGAGCTTACACAGTATACATACTCTCCTCTCTCTATACAGTAGACATCCTCCATGTATACACTATATATGGAGCCTACACAATATACAGACTCCTCCCTCTCTATACAGTAGACATCCCCATGTATACACTATATGGATCCTACACAATATCAGACCCCCCTCTCTATACCATAGACACCCTCCATGTATACACCGTCTATATGGAGTCTACACAATATACAGACTCTCCCCTCTCTATACCATAGACATCCTCCATGTAGATACACCGTCTATATGGAGTCTACACAATATACAGACTTCGGGTCTATGTGGAATTAGAGTGCAATGAGCGGAGTTCCCATTTCCTGACATCTCTCAGAATATGGAACTCCGCTTTGTTTAGAGCAGCCAGGAGAATGATTGGTGGGGTCTCACCTTGTTATATCTGCCCATACATCCTCCAATCAGATTGTTTGTACTTCCCAACAATAAAGAGACCTGGAAAGATTTCTAGAAAGGTGAAGAGTCCAATCAGAGAAGATTCTGGAAGAAGCACAACACTGGCAGGGTCCAACTTCTTATCCTATGAAGACCAGAAGTGAGCAAAGAGGATATTCGGCCTTGTCTCATATACCGTCCTTCCAGATTCCCAGAAGAGAGGGGGAGGGGGGAGGAGAGGGATTTCTAGTAACATAACACACCTCCACCTGTATAGACTGTTCAGACATCATTCATGTGTAACACAACAGGGCGCTGGGTGCGTCCACATTCCTCAGCCTGTATAACAAGCTGAACAAGTCTCACCTTAAGAGGGCTATTTATAAAATGATCTGCACAGCTACTCAACCAACTGCCAGGGACGGGGGTCTGAGGGTGGGGGATGGGGGATTCTGGTATCTCCAACTATTGTATGTCCTCAGAAATCAGCCAGCAGATTATACTTTCCTCTAAATTTCCCCTCAGGACTTTATTGCATTCATAATCATTAACCACGCCATCGATTGTGTGTAAATAGAACAATAACAGCTTTATTTATACAAAACCATATTAAACACAGAGCACATCATAAAATCTGTATAACCAGATATAAGAACATAACATATTGATGTCAGATATACTAATAACCCCCCTTACAAGTCACCGGCAGGCTGGTGGAAGTGACTATTAGTATTTCTCCATTAGTAAGTCCTGTCATGTAGATCAATTACTTCAATCAAGAATCTTCTTCAGGCAAAAAAACAAGAGATATCTGGGTGTCTGAAATACAAATAAGTTGTAATCGCATGTGTCACCCCATGGAAAGGTTTTGTGGGTCTCTCAGGAATTCTGTACAACAGACACAGAGGGGAAGATTTACTAAAACAGAATTGGGTACAACTGTGCATGGGAGCCAATCAGCTTATGGCTTCAAATTGTTCCATTATCTTTGGTAATAAAACCTGAAAGCTGATTGGTTTCTGTACAGAGTTGCACCAGAATTTGTACTGTTTGACTTTTAACTCCCATACCTTTTACACAATATTGCCAAAAGTATTGGTCACCTGCCTTTCCACGCACATTATTATTATTATTATACAGGATTTATAGCGCCAACAGTTTGCTCAGCACTTTACAATATAACGGAGACAATACAGTAACAATACAGTTCAATACAAGAGGGATAGGAGGGCCCTGATCCTGGGAGCTTACAATCTAAAAGGGAGGGGTTAGTGGTACAAAAGGTAATAATTGTGGGGGATGGACTGGTAGGAGGAGTAGAAGATTCCATTATTAGCTGAGGGCAGGATAGGCTTCCCTGAAGAGATCAGTTTTCAGAGATCGCCTAAAAGTGAGCAGAGTAGGCGATAGTCTGATAAATTGGGGTAGAGAGTTCCAGAGGATGGTGAAAGCTCTGGAGAAGTCCTGGAGACGAGCATGGGAGGAGGAGACAAGGGAGCTAGAGAACAGGAGGTCTTGTGAGGAACGGAGAGTACGGTTTGGGTGATATTTGGAGACAAGATTGGTGATGTAATTTGGGGCGGAGTTATAAATGGCTTTATATGTTATTGTTAATGTTTTGAATTTTATCCATTGGGCAACGGGAAGCCAGCCACATGACCTTTAATGTGTTAGGGTTCAATATTGAGTTGGCCCCGCCCTTTGCAGCTATAACAGCTTCAACTCTTCTGGGAAGGCCGTCCACAAGGTTTAGGAGGGTGTCTATGGGAAGTTTGGACCATTCTTCCAGAAGCACATTTGTCAGGTCAGGCACTGATGTCGGGGGAGGAGGCCTGGCTCACAGTCTCCGCTCTAATTCATCCCAAAGGTGTTCTATGGGGTTGAGGTCAGGACTCTGTGCAGGCCAGTCAAGTTCCTCCACCCCAAAATAGCTCCTCCATGACTTTATGGACCTTGCTTTGTGCACTGGTAGGCAGTCATGTTGGAACAGGAAGGGGCCATCCCCAAACTCTTCCCACAAAGTTGGGAGCATGGAATTGTCCAAAATGTCACTTTAAGTGTTCCCTTCACTGGAACTAGGGGGCCAAACCCAACCCCTGAAAAACAACACCACACCATAATCCGCCCCTCCACAAAAATTTATACTTGGCACAATGCAGTCAGGCAAGTACCGTTCTTCTGGCAACCTCCAAACCCAGACACATCCATCGGATTGCTAGACAGAGAAGTGTGATTGGTCACTCTGGAGAACACATCTCCACTGTCCTAGAGTCCAGTGGCAGCATGCTTTACACCACGGCATTCGCTATTTTGCATTGCACTTGGTGATAGAAGGCTTGGATGTGGCTGCTCGGCCATGGAAATCCATTCCATGAAGCTCTCTATGCACTGTTGTTGGGCTCACCTGAAGACCACACCAAGTTTGGAGGTCTTTAGCTATTGACTCTGCAGACAGTTGGCGACTTCTGCTCACTGTGCGCTTCAGCATGCGCTGACCCCGCTCTGTCATGTGACGTGGCCTACCACTTGGTGGCTGAGTGGTTGTTGTTCCCAGTTGCTTCCACTTTGTTATAATTCCACTAACAGTTGAGCGTGGAATATTTAGTAGCCAGGAAATGTCACGGATGGACTTATTGCCCAGGTGGCCACCTATCACGGGACCACGCTTGGAGTCACTGAGCTCCTGAGAGCGACCCATTCTTTCACCAATGTTTGTAGAAGCAGTCTGCATGCCTAGGGGCTTGATTGTATACACCTGTGTCCATGAAGGTGATTGGAACACCTGAATCACATGATTTGGAGGGCGGGCCCAATACGTTTAGCAATGTAGTGTATATCAGCACATAGCCCATGATATGTACTATTAGAAGGATCTATTAAATAAAAATAAGGTGCTTGTGAGCCGCTGTAATTCTATATTACAATAATAAATGATATTGCTGAGATTCGCTGGCTCTAATACACAGCTTCTTATTACGTGCAATATGCAAATAATTATATTCAGACAGTGCCGTGCTCCTCATATATGTGCTTTAAAAAAATCATATAACTAAACAGTGAATATAATAACTGAACAGATGATATATCACATAAATCAATACATACAGTGATAATTCTACAGTCCTTAACAACATAGTGCTCCTCTTGAGTGAAAGTGCTTCTCTTTAAATAAAAGTGCTTTTCTTGCGATATAGTGCTCTTCAGGAAAAAAGATCTTATTATGCGCTCACCACATGTCAGGGCAGGAGCGGTGAAATGGAAGGGCAGGCCTAATGGCAGGGTCACACACTGACTGACGACAACCACCACCCACAGACTGGAGTCAGGGCGCGGAGTCTAAGCCCCAGGCTGCCTTTCACTAGGGCCCCTGATGGTGGGGATGGACTTAACGCAGCAAGGGACCAGGCTGCGGCCCCCGAGTAACCCCAGCTGCGGTAATGGCCGCTGCCAGTGGCGTATAGCTGGTGGGAAACAGATGGGAAATGATAGCGTAGTCGGGCAGGCCAGGTCGATAACAACGTAAGAAACAGTACAAGACGGTAGGCAGGAATACACAGGTCACGAGCCGGGTTCAGCAATGGGAGGTCAGATAAAGGGATAAGGCAGAGAATAGTCTTAGACAAAGCCGAGTCGGTTTCCAGGAGAACAACGAGAGCTGAACAAGAACTTGCTGCAACACAATCATGCAGGACACAAATGCAAAGAGCAAGTGCAGACAACAGGCTTAAATGTGATCAACCACACCCCTCTGGAGGAGGGACCGCAGAGACCTGAAAGCATAAAAGGCTCCCACCATGCTTTGCAGAAACCTAAGATGGATGCCAGCACATGGAGCAGCACCAACTCTGAGGAAAGGTAGGACCTTGACAGTACCTCCTCCTCAAGGGCCCCTCCCCCTCCACGGCTCAACAAAAGGCTTCTGAGGAAAGCAGGCATGAAAAGCATGGAGGAGGGCAGGAGCATGAACATCCGCGGAAGGAACCCAGGAACGCTCCTCGGGACCATAACCGCGCCAATGGACCAGGAACTGCACCCGACCCCGCACCAATCGAGAGTCCAGGATGCGGCTCACCTCATACTCCTCATGACTGTCAACCCGGATGCGACGGGTAGTGAAGCGATTACAGAACAGAGGCTTCAACAGGGATACATGGAAGACATTAGAGATATACGCATCCCAGGCGGAAGAGCAAGGGCATAGGCAACTGGGTTCACCCTGCGGAGGATGCGGAAAGGACCAACAAAACGGGGGGCCAGTTTGGGTGTGGGCACCCGAAGATTGAGCTTGCGAGTAGACAACCACACCCGATCTCCGACCTGGTATGAAGGAGCGGGCAGCCGTCTGCGATCAGCCTGGAACTTCTGGTGCTGTGCTGAGTCCTTCAAGGACTTCTGGATCTGCCCCCATGAAGAACGCAGGGCAGCAAGATGGTTATCCACAGCCGGAAAGTCCTGTGGTGAGAACCTCTCAAGCAATACTGCAGGTTGGAACCCATAGTTGGCCATGAAGGGAGACATCCCGGAGGAGGAGTTGCAGCCGAGTTCCTGGCAAACTCCACCCATGGCAGGAGATCGGCCCAATCGTCCTGATGGTCCGAGATATAGCAGCAAAAGAATTGTTCCAGGGCCTGGTTGGAACGCTATGCAGCCCCATTGGACTGCGGGTGGTAGGCCTGTCTTGGAAATTTGCTTTAACGAATTTCTCCTTACCGTGAGTACTCGCAGTTGGATGCGCAGAAATCCCCCTTAAAGCTGTGCGAATCTCGCTTACCACGACTGCAGCTAAACTACACGATTCCTGCCCATCCAGCTACTTTTAGCTTCCGTTGAGATGTGGGGAATTAGAGCTCTGTTACCCTAGAATGATCACACGACACTCTCAGGATGATGATTGAATTCACATAAGGGCTGGTTTCAGACTCAGCCCCTGGTTTTATTAAAAATACACACATGCCCCCCACATGAATAAAGTCAATCCCCTCCCACCGAACAATGCAATGGGGAGTGCCTATACACAGGATGTACATTCCGATTGGAGCATAGCCTTTCCTATTATCTATCACTGGTCCTCCCCCATGAGCCTTCTGAAGTCAGCAGACTTCCTCCCCTTCCCATGAGCTCTCTATGGAGAGCATATCTCCTCCCCTTCCCATGAGCTCTCTATGGAGAGCATATCTCCTCCCCTTCCCATGAGCCCTCTGTGGAGAGCATATCTCCTCCCCTTCCCATGAGCCCTCTGTGGAGAGCATATTTCCCAGCTCCTAGCAGTATGTCCATTCTCTGCACAAGCATTCCCTAGAAATATCAGTCTGTACCTGGATGGGCCCGATACGATCTTTATTAAAACACATCCATCCGGATACAGTTTCAAGTTGGTAATGGGTTGTAAGATATGCATAAGCCTACACGTGGAGTTCACACCGCTTGGCGCCTTGCGTTATGAAGCCCATGTGGTACTATGCTGCTGATATGTGGATACAGGCCCATGGTCTACTGCCAGCGACATTCGCATCGAATGCCGTGGTGGTATACACGCCGGTCTATAAGCGCAGATCTGCCATCTCATCCATTACCAAGCTGAGTACTGTAATACATACATTGTACATGCGCATGGCCCAATTGCAGCCTTCAGAGCTTTAATTAAGCCACACGAGAGACATATGAATAACACGAATATATGACACATTTAAAGTTCGACCAACAATACAAAATTTCCATGACAGGCCGAAGAGAAGGAGAGCTTGATACCCAACTGGGAGCAGAAGGCGCGCCAGAACATGGACACAAACTGACTCCCACGGTCCGAGACAATCACCTTGGGCAACCCATGCAGGCGTAGAATCTCCCTGGCAAAAAACGTGGCCAGTTCTTGCGCAGTTGGTAATTTCTTGAGCGGAATACAACGGCACATTTTGGAAAAACGATCAATGACCATGAGAATGACCGTATGGCCCCGAGACACAGGGAGGTCTACAATAAAATCCATTCCCATGTGTGACCAGGGACACTCCCCATTGGGAATGGGTTGCAGAAGGCCCAATGGAAGATGCCGAGGAGATTTATTCTGGGCACAGACCGAACATGCCGCTACATAAGAGGCGATGTCGGAGTGGAGAGATGGCCACCAGAATAAACGAGAGATGACAACAAGACAACTTGTTCCTCCCTGGATACCGGCAGTCTTGGAGTTATGGTAGGTACGCAGCAGGCAGGTGCGCAATCCCTGAGGTACAAAACATCTACCGTCCGGTCTCTCGGGAGGAGCATCAGTTTGAGCTGCCAAAATCTGCTCCTCAAGGGGAGAAGTCAGGCTGGTGTGAATGGCAGCCAGGATCTGATCCGAAGGTCGGCTCAGAGTCCTCCCTGGACAACTCAGAGTATTGCCGCGACAATGCATCAGCCCTGACATTCTTGGAGCCAGGCAAATAGGAAACAACATAGTTGAAACGCGACAAGAACAAGGCCCATCTGGCCTGATGGGGTGTCAGTCTCTTGGCCTCCGAGAGATACGTCAGGTTCTTGTGGCCGGTAAGAATGAGGACCAGAACAGTGGGACCGTCGAGCAGGTGCCTCCATTCCTTGAGAGCCTGAATGATGGCCAACAACTCCCTGTCCCCAATCTGGTAGTTGCATTCTGGCGAGGAAAGCTTTCTGGAGTAGAACCCACAGGAGTAGGGGTCCATCGGGCGACCAACGCTGAGACAGGAGAGCGCCTACTCCCATCTCAGATGCATCAACCTCGAGGACAAAGGGCAACCCAGGATTGGGATGAGACAGTATCGGAGCCGAAGCTAAGGTGGATTTCAGAGCCTCGAAAGCTGCCATGGCCTCGGGTGACCACTCATGAGGATTACTGTCCTTCTTGGTTAGATCTGAGAGAGGCTTGGCCAGTGTGGAGAAGTTCCTGATGAACTTCCGATAATAGTTGGCGAAACCCAAAAAGCGCTGAATGGGCCGAAGACCATTGGGACAAGGCCACTGCAGAACCGCCGCAACCTTCTAAGGGTCCATGGAAAAACCCACCGTGGAAATGATGTAGCCCAAAAAGGCAACCTGGGACCGGTGGAATTCACACTTCTTGAGCTTACAAAAAAGTTTGTTCTCACGTAACCGTTGCAGCACCCGCTTGACATCCTAGATATGAGATTCCATGGAGACAGAGTAAACCAGGATGTCATCCAAGTAAACCACCACACAATGCTGCAACAAGTCACGAAAGACATCATTTATGAACTCCTGAAAGACCGCGGGCACTTTACACAACCCAAAGGGCATCACTAGGGATTCATAATGACCGGTTCTGGTGTTAAACGCGGTCTTCCACTCATCCCCCTCCTTGATCGGTACGAGGTTGTACGCCGCCCTGAGGTTGAGTTTAGTAAAGACCGTTGCTCCCTTGAGGCGGTCGAACAACTAGGTAATCAAAGGAATTGGGTAGGCATTCTTAATGGTGATTCGATTGAGACCCCTATAATCGATGCAAGGCCTCAATTCACCACCCTTCTTCTTTATGAAGAAAAAGCCTGCTCCTGCTGGAGAAGTAGACTTGCGAATGTGCCCCCGGGAAAGCGCATACGCAATGTACTCCTCCATGGCCTTATTCTCTGCAACCGAGAGAGGGTACACCCTGCCACG